ATGAGGTAGCGGAAAAAGAAAAACAACATCAAATTGCGTTGATTTTTTGGTTCGGCAAGATTTTTGCTGTTTCATTCGCGTGTTTCATTTTGAATTGATTGCGTTCGTGACTGGCAGTTGTTCGTGAATGGAACGCGATAATTAGGGCAGCGCACCAAAGAGTTGAAACCGCATCAAATAATCAACTGCAATTAGCCAGTTTTACAGGTACCACGCTGCCTGCACATTCTAATGCATACACCAACGCTATTGTGATGTTGCCACAGTTGAACATAATCTTTGCTGCGTTGTTACTCTCGGATTCAATTGGGTTCATTATTTTGATGGTGCTTAGGTGACTAGTGAAAGTTTTTTGACGTTCTGAGTGCATTTGATCGTATCAGATAGCTTAGAGGCATACGGACGTCTAGGTAGCATTCGTCTATCGGTACGTTGGTGAGCGCTTGAAATTCATTTATGGAGACGCTTGAGTATCAATTGACTGAAGATGATTTATATTTTATTTAACATGCAACATCAAGCAGCAGTGGGAAATATCACGAACGGAACGAGTATTACACTTAAATGAGGCCATCTTCAATTTTATTTGGAGTTAGTGCTAGCAAAACAATTTTCTACGGTCTTCAGCCAAATCTAACAAATGCTCAAGCGAATTGCTGCTGAGTTCAGCGAAATCTGAGAATCTAACAAATCCATCAAATAGAAGAATATCCTAAAATGAATGCGAATTGCTGCGTTTGGATGCAAAATTTTGGCAATTTGTTATCGAAATCGGAAAAGCTGAATTGAGAGCTAAATGACTGTTAGATGGATTATGAAAAATCGTTATCGCTCACTGCATGCTATGGCTGAAATGGCCTCATTATACTTACCCATTAGTGGATTCAACGAATTTCACCTCATTATCTCGAATAGTTCGTCAATAAAATACCTCGGAAAATATTGAATGAGTTAACTGAGACTCATTTTTATGGCTCATTCTTACCTTGATCGGGTTTTGAGTGGTTTATAATTGTGACTTTGATGACAGTTTTTTCATAATCGATAATCATTCCACACTTTATTGCTTTGTTGAATTATCTACGAAACTGGACGAGAATTGGGAGTATATTTCGGCTCGTATTCGCATCATTTATATGGATCAGATATTTGGAATGATTTGGATGTTCTGTCGCGCACGAATCGTGTACCGATGGGTGCTTTTAAGCTGATTGCTTGGGCAGACGGTTACTTTTTGCAGGCATTCTCGATTAAGTCCGAGCATTTAATTGAATGACTTCTGCTTGCAAATATAGATACTTTCGCCGAGAATTGATTTATTTCTCGCTCCACAAAACGCTTCATTGGGTTAATTGCCCATAAAATAATACAGCCATTGATCGACCAGCACTATTTTATTATGAAAAACTTCTTCTAATTATTTTCCATTGCTGCCTCAAAATTGTCTAAAGTGGATTAATAATTTTCTAGAAGAATCCATTCCAAATGCGAGTGCACACATCTGAACCATTTTGCATATCAAACTAAATTGTTGAAAACGTGTTCGCTGAGAGAAATTCCATCAAATTTTACGGTGAATTCCATATGATTCATGAAGAAATTTCAGGCATTTTTCATCAATATAAATCGTATTCCACATTTCAAGCAGCAACAAAAATGACAAGAATCCACTCATATGACTACTGCCTGCTGCTACTGCTGTTGTTGCCTTCCACGCATACATATCATTCAAAAATGAAATAGCTGATAGTTTATGCGCTCAGAACGGCAATTAAG